GGGACATTTATTAAATATATCTCAATGAAAAGAGAACTTTTAAATAAGAGTAATAATCCGCGTTATAAGGATTAAAAATAATTTAATACATTATAAGAATCTTCACTGATATTATATATTATCGTTATAAATTATGTTATTTGTCAAAATTTATTAACAAATTCATTTTATAAACTTTTAAACCAGGTTATTAGTTAATGAAATAATTGTCTAATTTAAAATAAACATTTCTAAAATTAACTAAAGCATTATTCCATTGTTTTTAAAAAATCAAATTGTAATTCAGAGTTTTCATATAACTCATAGCATTAATTATATTTTTATATTATTTAAACTAATATTAACTTATATTAAATTATTTATCCAAAGTAATCTATAAAGTTCTAAAATTTCAATTTATTTTTCAGAATGTTTTTTATGATTTTTAGTGTATATAAATTTATATTACCTTTTTTTTTTAATTTGATTTAAAATAAATTTATTTATTAATATAGAAATTATTTATAGAAATAAGTTTCATCAGAATGATATATAAACTTTCTATTAATTATTATTACTATGTATTTAGATATTTTATAAATGTCTTAATCTTTAAAAATGAATTCTTATTTCAATTTTCTTTCATTCATATATTTTCTGTTAGTTCCACAGTAGGATAAATTTTGTTCAATGAACAATTTGTCACAGAATTATTCATTATACTATATAAATAGAGTTTTATTACTTAGTTAAAATTTCTTTATTATGGAAACGAACGATTTCTATTGCTGCCTATAGTTATTTAGAGTTGTAAATAAAAGTTGTTTTACCTCTACAAATTACAAACGAAGTAGATAACTCGTATAAATAACAATTATAATTAAAAAGCAAACTCAGTCTTTTATATGTCGAATACTCCAATTTCAACATGTATGTGACCTACTAAATCTCCTTTTCAAGAACAGTATTTTAAAAATTTAACAGAATTTTTTGGAATCGTATTTTCAACATGTTAAATAGTAAAAGCTTTTTGAAATGTTCATTTTTTTACGGCCTTACATTGTTACAATAACCATTAAAAATTATTTTATAACTTAAATTATATTTGTAGTAACAGAAAACTATATTATTAAACTGCTAATTTAAATATACATTTTTGGTTTAAACATTATTATTCTTATCATCACCATTATATAAAAAACTGGTTTTATTTAAAATATTTTCAAAAATCGGTGTAAATATCGCGATATTTAAAATATAATTTAAGTTTAATCATTAAACTCAAATTAATAGTATTTTATTTGAATTTAAGAACGTACAATAGATATTCTACTATCCAATTAAAATATCAAATATCTAACTGCTACTTAGTTCTAAACAAGTCTATTGAATCAATTTATTATTATTACAAATAAATTAATTGTCATTTGAATATATAATAAGATATTATAGTTGAAATGAATGAATATGAAATATAGTGAAAAAGTTTCAACATAAGTATGTTAAATTTCAAAATCATATTATTTAACTAAATTATTCATATACTGAAAATGAAGTACTTTGTCATGCAGCTTTAATTATCGATTGAAAAACTAACAAAATATGAAAGAACATAAGATTTTTGTATACTTTCAATAGTATTATTAATCAATCAAAATTAACGATCATCATTACGTATTTTCAACTTCTTAACTCTTCTTTTCATTCAATACTCATTTTCTTAACTGAAATATTATTAATATATCTTCATGATATCCTTAACATGACAACATAACACAATAGAACACATTAATAAAATTACCTAAATATCCATAAAATAACAAATGACTGAATTAAAACATTTTAATATTCATTAGAAAGTAACATGCCTCAATTGGTAATATAAAAATTTAAAAAAACATATTTTTTAATTATATTTTCAGGTATATATTATATATAAAAAAAATCTTACCAATATTACTAAAACATTTATTACTATTATAAAACGTTACGAGTACCAAAAGTACTGAAAAGAACATTTTTTGTTTAATATAAGTCATGATAAAAATCTTTACCTATAGTATTAATCTAATAAAAATATAGTTGAATAAATTGAACATATAAATAGTGTAAGCTCCAATAGATATCAAAATACAAATGATTATGCTTAACAAAACATAAATATACAACCTTTCGTCAATACAAGTGTGTAAATCTATTAAGTAAATGATAAAATTCTCGGAAATACAATGTACAAGTATCATTTAATATATATTTGAGTATAACAATAATGTAATTTTGTCTCAATGTAAATTATGCAGGAAGATGGCATTAAGAACTCAAGAACTCTAGAACAACGAAAATGATATAAACAGAAACTGAAGTAATGGTAAAATAGAATTTCTGCTGACAAAAAATATTTAAAATTTTAGTGAATATAAATCCTACATTATTCAGAAAGAACAATTTTGAACTTAACTTGTAGCAAAATTGAAAAAATATAATTCTTAAAAAAAAAATCAAAACAATTTTACATAAAATTAAATAAAAACAAAAACAATATGACATCAATCAAATATAGATATATTTTTATTATGTAAAAGATTTATGCGCAGATTCAGCATTAAAATCACTATGAAATCTGTTTAAAAAATGAAATGAAAAATATTTTCTTATCTTGAAATAATATATTTATAAAACAAATAGGATTTAAAATGAACTATGAATTCTACAAATGGATATATTGCAATTTTAATTGGAATTTTGTGAGCAGTAACAAACTTAACAATATAGATTTTATCGTTACGATGACTTTGGATATAAAACTTAACAGTGATTAAACGAACGTATAAAGCTAAACGATAAGACTTCAGCTATGCAGCAGAATTTTAATAAATACAAGGATGTATTAAAACTAGAAACTTCTCATTAAAGCGACTTCCAAGCGCACAAGTATACAACGTGATTACGCAAATATTAATAGTTCCTAAAAAAAACATAGCATAAAGTTTTTTAAATAAAAATATTAAAAATAATATACAATATGTAATGGCGAATGTATAAAAAAATATTGTAAAATAAAAGTTATATTTACGAGTGTATTATAAATTCTTTAACTAGACTTGCTTCATTAAATATTGTAAATGGGTGAAATTCTAGTACCATTTGATTTCTCTCGTTAAATTCTTTAATTGTATAAATTATTTACAAATTCAATTTCAATTTCTTTTTTTGCACTAAAAAGAATAAATATTGAAAAAACTGAAACATGAACAAAAATGGTATGCAATAGAATTAATGTAATATAATGTAATGTAATCGATTTTAACATAAATTAATAGCAATCTAATAGTCATTGAGTAACTAAATATTAAATTAATTGAATTTTCAATCATCAATATTTCTTTCAATATTTTACGAAATATAACAAAATAATATCTTTATGCTCAAGTAACATGTAAATTGATAAATTAATAATTAATGTGACAATTCTTTTAAAAATTGCATCGATACAAAATAATTGAATAATAATTGTATTTATATATAAACAATAAATTTCAAAATTGATTAACGTATTAAATAATATTTTTAATAGAATAAGAATAAGAATAATTACAATATCAATAATTATGATAACACTATTTTTTTTAATTAAACGTTATACCTTTAACTAAGTATGTAATGTTTGCAAAACATTTTAAAGGCAACGTATATAATCTTTTCAAATGAAATTTCACTAATATATCACGATTTTACTTATACTTTAACGTGATCAATATCCAATTAAAAACAAAACAAAAACAAAACTAAATAAATAAATAAAATTAAAAAATGCAACTTGTAATTAAATAAGAACAAAATCTAGAAATTAAATTTCGTATAATTAATTTTTTCAATTTCATAAAAAATCTTTTAGTTGCCAAGCCATTCAAGATATATATTATATTATATTTTTAAATAATTTTAATTGTTTCATAATACGACAAATTAACAACTTCGTCATTAACAAATCATCATTCGAATGAACATTTGACAATAAATATTGTTTTTCTAAATTATTTCACAAGTTAGTTTGTCCGTTGATGCATAAACCAAGAAAAACGAAAAATATCTTTTATATAATTCCATTTCTATGAAATTCCTGGTAATAATACAAGAATGAAAAAGTGATGGTCAAGTACAATGGTAACAATTTCTCTGAAACGGTTTTATTTTATTTCTTAAATCAAATTGATTCCTTAATATTTGTATAAAAAAATATACCAATATAAAATTATCATAATTTGAAAAATTCTTTTCATCAGAAATATGATAAAAATAATAAAAACAATAATGAAAAAACAATTATTCGAATATTTGTACATTTTTCGATAAACTTTACCGCATTAAATTAGAAACAAAAATTTAAGATACAAATCTTATTATGATAAACTGTTTCTCATCTAAAAATTACAAATTAATTTTCATCCTAAATGAAACTTCAAATATTTTTAATTAATAGGAATCACAAAAGCTTTAAATATTAAAATATTTCAATATTACAATAACTCAATACGAACAGCTATTTTTGCTTACAGCGGCGATGAGTATTTGATGTGATCAAATGGAGAAAAAATAATAAAACACTTTATAATATTCTAATCGATATTAAAATCAAATTTTCTAACATAACACACAACAGAAATACTTTCGGCAGCACGAAAAAATTGAATTTAAAAAGATTTACCACTCGCTAATCCTTTCTCCAGGCACTACGCTACGCAACAAATACTCAAGCAGGTGCGCGCGCGCGCCCGCGCGTGCGTGTGCGTGTGCGTGTGCGTGTGCGTGTGCGTGTGCGTGTGCGTATGCGTGCGTACGTGTGTTCGTGTCCGTGCGCATGCGTGTGTTTACAGTATTCGTCCGAACGGGTAGAAAAAAAAAAAATTTAACGATATTGGTTGGGGCGACCTAACCTAAGATCATTTTATTCTGACGAACACCTAACCTACTTGCGCGCCGACGCCTCTCTTCTCTTTCGCCGTGTATATGTGTGTATCGTGCATCAGCATCTCTATGCGCCTTCTCACATATACATGGGACGACGTATTCTCGCTCAACCACACAAGTAAGCCACATCAAAATGGAGTCGACTCATCTTCATCTAGTGCGTCGCTTACTTTCTATGTGAGGCTCCGAGAGTACCATAATGTTTATGTTAAGACTCTATTCCACTCGGTTACAACTGCTGAATTAAAGTGAAACAATGTCGCGAGCCTTGCCGTGTGATCGACGTAATTAGATGTCGCAGAAAACGAAGTATGAACATCGTGGACGACGCCGATGGGCCCCTGGATCCCCGCATTCAGGTAATTGCCAAGTTTGCTACATTTGCAATGTTTAGTCACTTTTTCGCGATGACAGTTTATGTGATTATTAATCTCTAGTGTACAGCTTCAAGCGCTTAATAAAACGTCAGAAGTATAAGGAGCTTTCAGAGTAAAACACATTTGTTTTTGAAAGACTGATACTGACTGGTACCTTGTCCCACTTAATTTAAACAATAATTTTACATATTATTAACTATACATTTGTGAAACATTATGTTTGAGACGTAATATTAATGATACCCGCCACATTACAGTATGATTATAGAAAAATTAAAGAAGTTCTTGTACATTTTATGAATTTAAATTCGCAGACATTTACTCTATGTACATTTAAAAATACTTTAGCTTTAATGTCACGTATTATTGTCCCTATTAAACTATAATATTATAATAACATTAAAGAATATTTTTCATTTCACATTGATAAATGCAGAATTTTTTATCTGTTAATTTCATCTTCTATAACGATCGATTATATTATTTATAAATGTATGAGCATAGCCTATAAATACGTTGTGTATGTGTATATGCATGTACTACATCACAGCTGAATAACTTTAGAATCTAAAGTTATGTTGAGTCACTTCACATTTATATTTGTACATTCCATGTTACTTCTATTTTGATTATTAATTATATATTATTGATATTATTTTTTTCTTTTTTTGCTAAAATATTAATTTGTTGCAGATCGAATTGGAAAATTTGAACAATGCAACAGATGATATAAACAAACTTGAAATTGAATTAGACGTAAGTAGTACTTTAATAATAATCTACTTTATAAATTCATTTGCAAAAATACAACTGTTTTTAATAACAATGATATTGTGTATATATATATATATATATATATATATATATATTTCTCATATAATTAGGAAGCTAATACTACTTATGGTCAGTTACTCTCTGAATCTACAAGTCGGTTAAAAGAATTAATGAATAAATTAGGAAGTGCTTGCATTGATAAAGCAAGATGTTACTTTGAAGCATGTGAAGTTGCACATCAAGCTAGGGTAAAATATTATCTTTTTAATGGATGCAAAATTTGATACAGAAAATTATTATTGTAAAACAAATTTAACGATTTTGCTTTAACCATAGTTGAAGTGTCAGCAGCAAGCACAGCTTTATCAAAGAGCCAATGTTGTACATGCGGCAGCAAAGGAAACTGTTGCATTAGCCGAAGCTCGTTTTATGTCCCATCAACACGAATGGAACTTTGATCAAGCATGGCAGGATATGTTAAATCATGCAACGTTCAAGGTAGTTAATATTGAGTAATGCAATTATTTTTTAATTCTATTATTTCATATAATCTATTTATTTTATTTTTATAATTAACAAAACATAGAAATAATTTAAAAGTAAAATTTATATTACAGTATAGCTTTTAAAACCAAAATCAATAAGAAAAAGATGCTCAAAATTTGTCTCAATATTTGTTAAATTGTAGGTTATGGAGGCAGAAAATCAGAAAGCAGAATGCGCTCGAGAACATCACAAAAGAACAGTACTGTTTCACGAAGCAGAAAAAAAAGTACAGCAATTAGAAGAAAAATACCGTAGATCAATAATCAAGGCACAACCATATTTTGATTTAAAATCTCAATGCGACCAAAAACTATCCATACAAAAAGAAGTTGTCGATTGTTTAAAGAAAGCAGTTAAGGATGTAAAGTGTTCTTATGCATCAAGTCTTCATGCCTTGGAAGAGATTAGCAATCAAATTCATGAAAAAAGAAGAGATTATGGTATATATAGAAGAGATATGATACATACATCCCATGCTTTCATTAATTTTAAATATTAAATGGAAGCTCTTATCAATTTTTATAACCATTAATTATAGATATTGTAGTTAATGGCCCACGAGAGCCTGGGGTTGGAGCAGAGCTAATCACTCCGGAGGAAAGTTTAAATTACGAAGAAGAACTCAATAAAATTAGAGTTAGTAGAGTAAATTCAATAGCGAGTAGCGAACAAGACGCTGATGATAGGAATCAAGATTTTGAAGTAAGAAAAATATTAAAATTCATTAACCTCTTCTAAATTACTTACATATTTATTCTTGATTAATTATTCTCTTTTATAATTAAAAATTGTTAAGCTGTTTATATAGTTATATATATATATATATATATATATATATATATATATATATATATAGTAACCATTCAATAAATAATACTTTTAAGATTGAATAGTTTTATTAAAGTTAGTTTATTGATAGATCACTTTTCATCTTATTATGTTTGCTTAATTTAAATATCCCATTCGTACCATTGTCATAATTTCATTTCAATAAATCATAATATTTTTTTCCTAGGATATTCAAGATTTAAAGCAAAGAGTAGATCATTTGAATGTAAGGTCTGTAGATGGCAGCGAGTCAACTTCTACTCAATGGGAATTAGAATTGCAGGCCAGTATGGAGAAATTAAAAAACTTGCCATTTAGAGTCTCTGAAAGTGATAAAACTGATAGTGTAAATAAATGCGATTTAAAAACCGTTGAAGTCACAAAGTATACTAAAAGTAATGATAATTTAGGATCTAATGAAAAATTTGTAAAAAACGATCGTCGAAAACAATTTGACGATATTTATCAGGGATGGCAATCTTTAACTCAGAGTCCTATTAATTCTATAATAAATAAATCGAAGATTGCTTTCAAAAATAGTATCTCTAAATCCCTGAGTAACAGTCCTGTCAACATTGGAGCTTTTTCATTTGGAAAATCCAAAACTTTAAATATTCAAACTACAGCTGTAAGTAGTCAATGTCATACTGATACTGCAAACAAAATGTTACAACAACATAAAGAAACTTTTAATCTAAATAATAAAGACAGTGAAATTGAAAAACAGTTTGAGGCCAGTAATAATGATAATCAAAAAGACTCTGTAAATAAGGAACACTGCGAAATACCTGATAAAAATTATGAATTATCTACGCTAATGGAATCTCAAAAAAAAACATCTCAATTGTCTATTAATGATACTCAAGTACAAAACATATCTAAAACTACTCATAGTTTAGATTCTACTCCTGTAAAAGTTAAGTCTTTATCGTCGTCGACATTTACAAATTCATTAAGTAACGATTTAAATCATAGGATTAAATGTATTCAAAATGATGTACAATCAGATTATTCATCATCCAAAGCTAAGGAACTGCCATTACTTTCATTTTTTCAAAAATCATCCGTTTTGAAGTCGACGAAAGATAAAAGTTGTAGTATGATCAATCTTAATGAAAAACAAAATTTAAAAGCTCTTCTCGATCATTCTAATTTAGGCAATATACAAGCAATTAGCATTGAAAAATTAGCAAATGCACGACATAAATTGGTTGGAGATAGTTAAATGTAATTCGATATTTTTGAAAACATAGGTGTTACAATTGTGATATAAATATTCTGCAAAGAATTTATATAAAAAGTAAAAAATATCTTCAAATTTGCCAACACGTTAATAGCTTGACATATAAGATATTTAACTTCTTCCTTTTTATTCGACGTTAATTATAACGTATGTGTTAATCTAAAATCATCAATTAATAGCTTGTCTGGCATAACTTTTCTAGTTGCATTTTGGTGAAATACAAATTGCAAATAAAGTTCCTTTACCAATATTGGTTTTTATCGTAGCAACGAATCTTCACAATGCGTAGATTATTAATAACATAAAAAAGAAAATTAATTCTCCAGTTTTATGGACATTTATTCAGTATAATATAAAATGGCAAGAAGTTAACAAGAAATCATACATTTAATAATCTTGCCAGAACGAAAAAGAAGTATAACGAATTTTGAAGACTACTAAGGTGGTTGTATAGTATATAAAAATTTATCACAAATATGTATCCATTTTATTATTCAAAGTGCATAAAAAATTAATGCTTAATATTGTAATATCAAATATCAATTAAATTTTTTATTTTTTCTTTCCATTATTTTTAATCAGACTAATATTTTTCATTTAAAAAGTAATATCATTTTTAAAAAATAATTTCCGCTCTTTAAAGTAATGCTACATCATATATTAATTTGTAAACTAATATATTTCAATTAAGTGCTCAAGGCCTAAAGTTAAAATTAAATTTATAACAAAAATATTGCATAATTGCGTATAAATGTTCATTTAATTATTTGTACTTCTCCAAGATTGTGCCAATTAATATATAATTATTGTTTATGGGTTTTAAAAAGCTTTGAACTATCTACTCGAATGTAATATTTCAATACAACCACCTTAACTTGGCACTTATATGAATTGAACAGTAATTAACTGTTGACCTTTTTATATTGTTCTGTTAAAATACTTTTTAAGGTTGTAATTTAGCTGCGAGGTCACCAATAATGTATAGATTATTCATTGTAATTAGATAATACTTAGAAACGGAAGTATGTTCTGCAAAAATTAGCAGAAAACTAATAAATATTTTTTAGTAATATGTTAAAAAAGTATTTATTAGTTTCATTATGTAGATAGAAACATGAATCATCTAGAATCAAAATTATTGTTAACAATTAGTTATAAGTCATTTGTTCATCTTCATATAACTGTAACAAGCTCATATATTCCCTTAACTAAGGGAAATACTTATAAAAATAATTAAGAAAATGTGTTATCGTTACATAAGTAAAAATCTACGTGCGATTATAGTCAGCCATCGATAATAAATTTGAATTTCTTAATGTAAATGCCAAATTATCATTACAGATCTAATAAGTTAATCTTTTCTACGCAATGTTTTATGAACAAATAGTTTTAATAATAAATCAGTATAATTAAATCAGAAATTTTTTCTATTAATATTATTTAAGTATTTATTTATTAAAATTTTTTATATTTATTCGAGAATAAGCAATTCATGTATTAAAAAGTTTATAAAGCAATTAAAACATTTATATTCAAAATTGTTATTTTTGTATAATTACGTTATTTTATAAAATATTATTTGTGTATGATAGTCAGTGTGCTTTCAAAACCTTTGTTACTGTATACTTTTGTAGATTTCGAAAGTTGCAATAAACATAAAGGAAAATTTCAGTGCATTACGATTCTTTTTAAAAAACTTATACATTTCGTTATAATTTACATGAAAAATATCCCTTTTATCCACTAACAATATTAATTTTCAATTCCCTTTAATTAATTAATTCCCTCGTAGAAAATATCCTCACCTTAATAGTTATTGATAAATTATAAATTTTAATTATTTTATTATGGGCTCATAAATCAATTAAAATCAATCAATCATTAAACATAATTGTACAATTCTTGTTAACTTTTATATTAGAAATAACGAGATTAAGAACGACGTATTTCAGAATATATCTATATACCAGATCGATAGAACATCCACCCTAATCTTTAATAATATCAATTTATAATAACAACGTTGATATAATAAGAAATAAACGCATTTAACTAATTAAATTATCTAATATTAATCAGTTTATTCAATTTATTGTGTTTCAACTTGTATTGTTTCACGTGGTCCCTCGTAACATGCGATTAAATAATAATATTATTTCAAAATTTAATGTTAATCTACTTTATTAAAAAAAAAAAAAAAAAAAATTATAAAAATAATCGAATTGCTTATATTCGGCATTATTAAATTTGGTATTTGACGACTAAATTTTTATCATTTATTATAATAATGCATCATCTTATTAAAAATATTAATTATTTAATTAACGATTATTAAGATATTTCATAACGAATATCATGTTAATAATAATAATAATTCAATTTTTATGCTTTATCACATATTCTACAGTACAAAAAAAAACGTTTTATTAATATTCGAATTCAGCATTTCATAACGAGTTAAAAACTGATGCATTTTTTTTTTTTTTTTAAATAAATTAGTACCTTATAATTAACATTAATTTTAACAATTCTTCTAAATGAAGATAGTAACTATGATTAAATATGCTCGAAATTTTGATTGTTTATTTGAGTTTATTTGAATGTATAAGTCTTAAGGAACTAAGTGCACGTTTAATTGAGAATTTTTATGACAGAAAAACTAATTTTCATACTATTTGTAAAATATAATTATTATAATAAAAACATGTAAATAAGTATTTTTAGTTATTAAAAACAGAAATTATATCAAAATATGTAATCGCAGATAAAATCTTTAAAATTACAGTGCATAATACAATTAGTGGGATGTATTACTATTGAAAATTGGTATTAATGATGATATAATTTATTTTTTCTATTCCATGCATACCTTTGTAATAGTAACTATTTTTATTTGATATTTTTAGTTCCAAAAATTATTATTTAATGTTTCTTAATTATATTTGTTGGATAATTTTATAAACGATTTTATTTATTTTAAGAATAAATTTTATTAAAAATGTCGAATTTCTTCTTCTATATTATTTATCATAATATAATAAAACAATCCTAAATTAAGTTTTTATACGTAAATTAAATTTTAATACGATGAATTGTTCCCACATAATGGCAAAATGCATAATATTTTACTTCAATCGTTATTTATAAGGGAGGGGAGCTTGAAGATGCTCGAGACTATATGAAGAACATTCGCAGAACTTTACCTTCACTATTTTCTACTTCCAACAAGTTCGTAGTTGTATTTGCCGCTCCAATAAAACACTCAAAATTCAAATGGTCTTATTTGGTAAAGTATTTTTTTTTTTTTTTATAAATTTTTATATATTTATTGGAACATATTTATAGATTTGAAACGTATGAAATATCTTGTTTTATATATAGTTTTTAATAATAAATATTTCGACTACAATAAATTTAAATAGCTGCATTAGTTATAAAATTAAATATTAATTATTTTAATTTGTATATTATAATTAAATTTTTACGTAAAATTGTGCATATTTTAAATTATTGATAATCAACTGATCGGCTATACTTTCTTAAGTACCTTAAAAAAATAAGAACTTTTATACATCAATAGTATTGTGATTTGTTCGAAATAACTTCATGAAATAATACATGATTATAATACACTATACAACTTAATAAATGCGTTAGTGAATGCATTGGTCACAGAAGTTTATGCGCCCATGTGTTTGTATTATGCGCTAATTAGTATTTATGTTCAAAATATTACCGCTTTATACAGCTATTTAAATTAATGCAGTTATACACAACTCTTTCTAATAATCTTTCGGAGGTTGTGGGGCGGGAGGGGGGGTTGGCCTGATATATCTCGCTTAGAAGTAATAGTATTTTAAAAAAAATATCTGAAAATATAATACCTAAGCCATAAATTCAGCAAGACTCTACAATCTGTCTCTTGTGATGAATAAAAACGAAGTAGTACACACTGCTAAAGGCATTAATAGCTAATAATTATAAGCCAATGCTGTTCAAGGCTACAACCAAAGGAACTACAATCATTGCGCTCATCATTTGGTAGTTGTTATTAAGACGTGGCATTGACATTACACTCCAAAATATTACCGCAACAGAAACAAAGGGCAGTGGTGGTGCACTATGTATCATCCCCAACGAATCCCAGCCGCCGCTTGGCTCGGCTATTGGCTAATTGGTACGGCGATCGCGTCAATTCTCGTTAATCCGGATGTCCTAGGCCATAACAGCGCGGCTCGAGCTGTCCTTCCTAATGACTTGGAACTGATGGATCGACGTTCCGGTTTCTCGCACGATCGACGCCGAAGCACCGAGGTTGACTCCACTGCCTACAACATTCGCCGCACAAACGTAAATCTCTTTCGATTGCGGCAGTCATTGCTAAACTCGACGTGAAATTTGAGTTTTAAACTGTAGCTCTTAAGCGAAAAGTGGGTGGCAAGTTTTTATAGTTTGGCTCCATCCATTCATCGATTACGTAAACGGGAAATTAACGATGCATGTACATGCTTCACTCTATTATCAAGTAATTTCGTAATTAATATATTTTATTCCTTTTAATCCATATTGCATTATATTTTTTATAGTCTTGATTTTGAAAATATTTATTAGGCATATTAAATATACAAATATTATTTAGTAAAACTTACGTTCAGAATAAAAATTACAATATTATAATTACAATATATAATGCACAATTATAAAGCATTTTGGAACTTGCTTATTCTCGCTAGTTATTGCCTATTTAGCCCTGTCAAAAATATTTTCAACGTCTTAAAAAAAAAAAAAAAAAAAAAAAAACGAATATTAAAATATTTTCAGGATATTGGATCATACACCTTTGGATACGACAATGCGAAAGATTCATTGGGAAATGAGTACTTCAGATTTGAGCAAAGGTTCACCAATGGTACAGTGATTGGAGAATATGGATTTACTGATTATTTAAACTCGGTAATTGTAATTGTAAATTATACAGCCGATAAAAATGGCTACAGGTAAGGTATATAGGTATTAATAACAAATTTATTTGA